CTAGTCTTGCTTCTCCTTCACATCCCACAGCTGACCAGCTCCTGCTTAATGCGTCTTTGCATCGGTGCAGGCTCTTACTGCATCGATCCCCTATTGCAGGAGGAATGCAGAAGGGGGACCCCCGTGTAGAAATGCAGGACTGTTTGTTTTTCTCTGATTTCCAGTGAGTTGGATGCATATTACATTTTGGTGTTCATCCTCTGGTGGCAGATCTGCTGTGATCACATGTTGGTTTTCCTTTGAAGCTATAGATGCTCTTTCAGAGATTCTAGAAAATCCTCTACAGAAGCACTTCTGGGGAGTTCCTGCTTTCCCATACTACATTTTTTAAATTTATTTTTATGTCAGAATCAGGATCTTTCTCATGTAACTCTTTGTTGCTGTGATTAAGTCTGTCTTGTTTCTGAGATTGTCGTTCAGACACTGAGGTCAGTACTACTAAAGTAAAAATAGAGGCTCAAGGGTTCACATGGACAGATTAGAAGCCAGGAGACATTCAGGGGTGCTGTTGTCAGTATGATCAGAGTTTTCTACCTCTGAAAAGATCCTAAAGCTCCCAAGTGTCCTCTGAAATAGTCACCTTTCTTCTCATACCTGGATTTATCATATATTGTGAGAGAAAAAAAATTCAATCTAGTCATGTTTTAAGGATCTTGAGAGTGAATCAGCTGCTTAATGATGGCAGAAACAGGAAGGAGCAACATAGTTTGCTTCTCTGCTGCAAAAGAAAATGTTCTGAGCTATCGTGTGGTTCACTAGAATGTTAGTTGCCAAAATGTTTAAGAAATATTGACAATGACAATTAAAAATTGTACCCAAAGGCTGCTCTCCACTGAGCGTGCAGAATACCAGGGTCTGACAGCTCCTGATAATGGGTGATTTGAATCTTGGCTCATTCTGCACTTGGAATAGCTGCGACATCTAAGCAAGGCACTGAGGGACAGGGTCTTGCAAGGCTGAGGGGCCGCTTTGTGCACAGGCGTCACACGGTGGAGGGATGGTGGGCTGTGCGTGACCCTGGCTCCATGCAAGCATACCCGTAGCAAAGGCTTTGTTCATATAAATACGTGTCGTTGCTGAGCGTAGGGTGTTTTGCTGAGCCTTGCTTAGGAGATGGAGCTGCTCTTTGCAGGAGGATCACAGTGAGCCGTGCAGCTGAAGAAGACAGACGATGAGGTGGGCAGATACAAAGCACGTGCTCCAGACTGCAGGCAGTCAGCTTGGTCTCCATTGTGAACAGTTTTCACACAGTCCAAAGCTCCCATGTCTTTGGAGATACCTCTGCAGAAGATGCTGAGCACCAGCCGAATGTGCCCAGGTGGTATCTTCCTGGTGCTGGCCTTGTGACCAGAGCAAACCTCTGTTTTCTCTGAGGGAGGGCAGCTGCAATGGAACAGCTGCTTCCAAAGTGACCATAAAATGTTAGGCTATGGTATTCACTTTTCTATTTCACTGCTGTTTAATATATCCTTCGATCTATACAATGCTAGGACCAATGGAGTGAATTAGGGAACGCTGGAATCATTTTGTAGTTTGTCGAGTATAGGCTTGTGATCATAAATATTTACGTTATAAAGTAATCTCGGTTATCCACATAACATACTCATGTCATTAGAGCACATTTTTATTCTCCAGAGGTGTCAGAATCTTCCATACATTCAGAAATAGATACATATAGTAGTTTGCACATAATCAAAACAAAGCTTATTTCAGGCTAAATAGACTATGTCCAAGATTACTAAATTGCTTGGTTGGCTGTGAAGATGATTCATAAGGCTATATGTTTTAATATATGCAGCTCCATAAAAATGAAAATAAAATTTAGAGGATTCATCATTAGATTTGGAAAACAATGTTTAACAGATTTATTGAAGGAGAGTGTTGTTCATACTGAATTATTCCAGGCCAGTTCCAGTTCAGTGTCTTTTTTAAATGAAATGGAAGGGGTATAAATCGTGCTCATGATAATGCTGGAGCTGTCTAGAAATATTATAGAGTTGAGATTTGCATATAATAACTGACTAAAAGCTAGCAGATTTTTTGACAACTTATGAAGCAGTAGGATGTAAATATGCCAGTACTGGCAACTTCAGCCTTTTGGAAAATATGAATTAGATATTAAAAAATCAGATGATACCCAGAAGTCATGAAACTTGGGCTTCTCTATCTCTTGAAATGACAGATGAGTTTTTCAGTTAATTGTTGGCTTCCAGGAGCTGAAATACGAAGAACAGTGCTATGTAAGAGGCGATTCTGAATAACGTCGTGAAAGGTGGTAGCAGAGAGTCTTTTCTGAAGGCGTTTGGAAGTAGTGCATTTGCTGGTGGTTGGAGAAGTATGAGCATTTACTCTTCCATGCCTTTGTTTCCTGAAGGTCAGACTGTGTCCAGTCTCCGCACCGTCTCCATTGAACACATATGGGAAAGAGAAGTTTCTGACCTTCCCATGCACTGCTTTTTGAAAGGGCTCCATCTTTCTGGGAACCCTCAATGCCAGAGACCACAAAGACGTGTGAGGGACGTGGGGTGGCTCTCCAAAGTACAAGGGCTAGTGTTTTGGGGATTTTTTTAGAGCTGCTGATCAGTAAGGACCGTCAGACAGAGCAGAGCAATGTTTTGCATCGCGTAACTGTCAGCGTCATCTGGCAGGAAATGAGATTGCTGAAGGTGTCACCCGCAAGTTCTTGGGTTTTGCTTCCTCTCTGGGCTGCAGCATGGTGCCTTGGAACCCCTCTTGCAGGCTGCCTGGGGAAGTTTGAATTGGGTTTTGTTTGGGATGGCAGTAAAACTGCAGAAAACTATCTAGGAGATTTATAAATACCATCTTTTTTTACTCCCTAGTGGTTGCCACGTTATTGTGGTGTGGTGTACCATTAAAGGTGGTGCCTTTGAAAGCCTTGCGAAGCTAACATCTGTGGCTGTGTGGATGGCTCTTAGTGTGCTTGAGGCTTGTAGGTATGGCTGTCAAGACCTGACTGTTGTGATTTGAATAGTTCTTTGCCTACTCCCATTACCTCCAGAAGTTTAATTCTATGGATGCCTTGTTTTCCTTCCACGATTGAACTTCATTGCTATGAAGAGCTGGATAGTGACCATGTATCACCCTTGGCGTAGAACAGTTGTATCTTGGTCTGTGCTTGTGCATTTAGTAATGATGATTAAACTGTAAGTTTGGGGGAGTGATATATTTTTTTATTGCAAAGACTTCAGCTGTTAGTTTCATATTCTTTGGGTGGTATGTCTTCGGTAGGAGCCTGTTGATGCATTTTCTGTCTTCTAGTTTTCAGCGCAGGGCCATTTTTGTAATGGGTGAACGGGGAAAGGGAGAAATGGGGCGACTGAAGTGGGTGCCGTTTTTGAAGTGTTTGGATCAGACAATTGCTCTTGAGCTCTGGAAGACACTGTGGGAATCTGGGTTTATAGCTGCTTTGTTTTTTTACTTATCAAGATAAAAAGGAATTTTTCCTCATCATTCAGCTATGCCCTGAGAGCCCTCATCCTTCTAAAAAAGTTTTCACGGGCCAAACGAGGTCATCAGCAGCATCTGTGCAACCTGCTTATTTTCTGATGCCGAGAGGCACCTGACTGGGGCTTTTGACTTCCTTCGTCTTAATGATGTGGATCAGCCCTCTCCCGGGGTTGGCATTTTTGAGTAGCCTAGGGAATGAGAGGTCAGCTTCTTTGGCGAGTTCCAAGGACTGATGTTTTTTGGAGTCTGATCTTGCAGGCTGATGATAAACCGTGACAGATTTGCAGCTGCCGTGTGTGCAGAATGGTGGTATCTTTAATGGCGTCTGAAGGCATGGGGAACTTGAGAGGTGCTCTGGTTTGGGACTGTGAGAATCAAAAGAGCAGAAATGGCTTCCCAGTAATGCAACTGATGAAGACAAAGCAGTGCTGCTGCTGAAGCTTAACAGAGGGTGGAAGCAACCCTGCCTTCCTGTAGTGGCTCTGCGCAGCTAATATTTTTATTTCTGTGTAGTCACATAAGACTCTGGGTATGAAAAGGAAGCAGGTCTGAGTAAGGAAGTGTTTTGGGGGGGTTTTGTCTTTTTTTTTTTTTTTAAATACAGCTGCTTCTTGTCATGGAATCATGCTTCAGTTGTTGACATGAGTTATGAATTACTCTACCTCTGATGTACAGTGTCAGGAGTGTAGTGAAGCATAAAAATGACTTTTCAGTTTATCTTAATTTGAAAGTCTGCTGAGTTCTTCATAATGAATTTCGTTGAATAACTGCCTGAAGTAATTGAGACCAA